GGTGCTGAATCAATAATGTCAATTCAAGACACAAGAAAGCCAGAATATGTGACTCACGCTTCTTGACAGCTTCGTTATGCTGCTTGGTGAGCTCGTCTCTCTGCGCCGTGAGCGCCGCGTTGTGCGTGTCCTCCATGTCCTTCTGCACCTTCTCGTGGTCTTCCCGGTCGGCTTGTGCCTTGTGGCGTGCCTCCTGTTCTAGCTTAGAGGCCTCCTCCTTTTGCTGACTTATCTCCGACAGGTTCTTGTCAAGCGCGTCCTTCTCGCTCGTCAGATCCGCTGTGGACACATCCAGTTAATAAATAGTTATACAGTGCGTTTGACACAATTCGGTCTGTGTGGACACATGCGATTAATAAATGGTTACAGTACTCGTTTTACATACAGAGCTTTCGACATAATTGTTCCGTGTTTCAGTAAGAGTTTTACAGCACTTACAAACAAGTGTGGACACATGGTAAGAAGTTCTTGGGTTGTACGTAACAGTAGCTCAGTTTAGTTTTAGTAAGAGTTTTACAGAACTTGAAACACAAAAAGGTCAAACAAGTGCCGAAGATTAGAGGTGTTACAAGAGAGTAAGAGGCACAGAAAAGAAACAGGAGAGATCAGGACGGCAGACGTTTGATAGGAAAGTTTCGTTTTAGTAAATATTGTATGGCCCTTGCAACATAATAAGGTCATATAAATGCCGAAGATTAAGAGGTGTTACAAGAAAGTAACGAACACAAAAAGTAGGACAGATCAGGACGACAGACGTTTGATAGGAAAGAAGGAGCAAACCACACCATAGCACCCACCAACCACCCACAGTAGCTCAGTACAAACAAAAAACAAACAAATTAAAACAAAAATATAAACAGTGCACACTGACCACATACACATTTGTACATTTGGGATATACAACAGTCCATACAGTTTGTTTGCTGGTTAGTCTCTTTGTTTGTTTGTTTGTTTGCTTGTTTTAATGAAGAGTAGCAAACCGACAAAAATAATGGTCACTTAGTGCGGGGGAAATATAAGACACACATAGGAACCATAAAAAATCCCTCCAGTGACAAAATTTCCTTCTGTCTTTCTTTTAATAAAGTTATTTTTTTCACCCTCTCTCTGCTATAATTCTTCACTAAAAGAATTTCATTCTTTCCGAAAGCAGCTCTGCTCAGATTATGAGGGATCGAACCAGTTCCCATCACAATTTTAAACTCAATGTGCTGGTTATAATTTCCCTGGGTCGGACGACTGGAAGTACATCGACAAGGGAGACCATTCATGATATGGTTGAAGGAACAAAACTAGTCTGTGAATTTGCATGGTTGTGTCCCTTGATACATCAGAGATCAGCATGAGGTGATGGAGACGTGGATGGAATTGTGAGGAGAGCGGGAAGTGTATAGCCAGGCTTAACGCCCCTTTCAACACCATTAGTTATTTAAGAACTTAATGTCCGTCTCTGATAGGACCGAGCTAAATGGGTTGGAGGCCTAGAAAATTCCAAGCAAAAAAATATTTACCCGAGTTCATTTCAAGACATCCGGTCTGGGTTTCAAACCAGGGCCACCCAATCCGTACTCCAGCATTATACCAACTGAGCTAAAGAGCGCCCTTGTGTTGATGACACGAAGAAGAAGGAGAAGGAGGAAGAGGAAGAGGAGGTGGAGGAGGAGGAGGAGAAAAGGGTTAGAGGCGCACACAGGGGGGGAGAAAGAGAGAGAGAGAGAGAGAGAGAGAGAGAGAGAGAGAGAGAGAGAGGAAGAGAGAGAGGGAGAGGGAGAGAGAGAGG